AAGGTTAGGGTCGTGTTTGATTGTGCAGCGCAGTATAAAAGGGTGTCTTTAAACGACAAGTTACTCCAAGGGCCAGATATGACCAATAATCTGGTTGGCGTTTTGATGAGATTTCGACAAGAACCAGTCGCTGTGATGGCAGATGTGGAAGGCATGTTCAATCAAGTGAGAGTAGCGCCAGCAGACTGTAATGCTTTGCGCTTCCTATGGTGGCCCGATGGGGACATGAAAAATGAACCAGAAGATCATGAGATGCTAGTACATATATTTGGAGCAACATTATCGCCGTGCTAGGCTGGATTTGCTTTACGCAAGACTGCTGAATACAACATGCAAAACTATGACAGTGAAACGATCAGTACAGTATTCCAAAATTTCTACGTGGATGACTGTCTAAAATCGGTTTCATCTGATGAGAAAGCAGTTAGACTAGTGAGTCAGCTACGAGAATTGCGGTCCAGAGGAGGTTTTTGGCTCACAAAGTGGATTAGCAACAAACAAAGTGTATTAGAGACGGTACCAGTTCAAGAACAGAGTTCCTCCGTTGTGAATATGCACTTCGAAAACACATTGGCGCAACGGGCAGTTGGTGTTGAGTGGAATGTGCAGACTGACAGATTCCAGATTGGTGCTGTTAGGAAAAGTAAGCCAGTCACCAAAAGTGGAAACCTCTCAGTGGTCAGTTTGGCATATAATCCACTGGGTTTTATGGCACCAGTTATTTTGCCTGCTAAGTTGATTTTGCAGGAATTATGCAAGCAAACCCTTGGATGGGACCAGAAAATTGACAGCCAGTTATCGAGTAACTGGAAAAAGTGGTTGAATGGTCTGTCACAGTTGACAAAGGTGACAATCCATCGTTGTTACAGACCTTCGGACTTTGAGGCCGTGCAGTCGGTACAGATTCACCACTTTGCAGATGCATCAGAGAAAGGCTATGGCGCTGTGTCATACTTCTGGTTTGTGGATGCTGCAGGGACAAAGCATTGTTCATTAATTATGGGCAAGTCCAGGTTAGCACCGGTGAAAGCAGTTACAATACCGAGGCTAGAGTTGATGGCAGCAACATTGGCTGTAAGTCTGGATCAGAAGATCAAAGAAGAGATTAAAATTCCTGTACATAACACATTCTTCTGGACGGACTCAATTGTTGTATTGAGATACATACAGAATGAATCAAGGAGATTCAATACATTTGTAGCCAACCGTGTGAGTGTTATTCAGAAGAGTTTGTCGCCAAGTCAATAGAGACATGTTGGTTCTGATCAGAACCCAGCAGATTTGGCATCAAGGGGTTTGACACCAGAAAACACAAGAAAACTCCAAAGATGGCTTCAAGGGCCAGAATTCCTGTGGCTGGAGGAAAGTTGTTGGCTGCAACAACAAACAATGTCTGAGGAAGTATCCAGTGAAGATCCAGAGGTGAATGGAGAGACACAAGTCAGTAGTTTCGTTATTCAGAAAGGGAACTTGGATTCCTTCATTAGCCAGTTCTCAAGCTGGAATGGCTTGGTCAGAGCAGTTGCTTGGATGCTGAGATTCAAGAAGTACTGCTGCAGTCGGTATTTCAAGAAAGGAGATTGGTCGCTGAAACATGGGCAACTTTCTGTGAAAGAACTAAAGCAAGCAAAACTAGCGCTTGTTAGTTATGTTCAGAGACAAGTATTTCAGAAAGAATTGAAGCTATTCGAAAGGTCCAAGCCAGGTGACAGTGCTCAGTTGAAAAGATCTACAGGAGGAGCGAGTCCTCTGCACAAGTTAAGTCCTTTTCTTGACAATGGCGTTTTGAGAGTTGGTGGACGATTGCTTTTACTGTTGTATGAGACGAAACATTACCTTTGCGCAATTTTGCTAATTTAAAATTAAAGGAACTGAATAATATACTGTAATAAAGGATAACTGAAACAATGCCTGTGGATTGTTGCATATTTGAGCCTGTACAGTGTGACTGAACAGTACTGCCACCTATCAATCTATAACCACCGCCTGCTACTAGCAAGCATAACTGCGTTGCTCTCTGGCCTTTGTCATTCTTCTCTGAATTGCCCAGAATTTGCTACAGAATATATAAACTACTTATAGATTAATGACAATCTTGGTAACAGGATTTTCATATTATCAAGAGCGTATAAAGAAGGTCTTCTTAATACCTTCTTAATACGCTCTTGATATTATCGTCTTCGTATCAAGCCAATAGTTTACTAAGAGATTGCTATGAATCGGGCCGTGACTTAGAGAAAACATCGTAGTCTCATCATCGTAATGAGTGAACATATATCCGCCGTAGACGACCATTTCGCGAGTTTTAATAATTTCACTAATAATGGTCGTACAGATTTTCACCAAAATCTATCTTATCGGCTGCTCGTATTGCCGAATACAGTGTTCGCTCTTGCGGCGAAGACAGCCCTCTAGTTATAGTTGGAATTATGGTCATAGTTATGTTCATGGTTATGGTTATGGGTATGGTTGTGAATATTGTTATAGGTATGGTTATGAATATGGTTATGGATATGGTAATGTTTAAAGTTATGGTTATGGTTGTGGTTGTGGTTATGGTTACGGTTATGGTTACGGCTATGGTTATGGTTATGGTTATGGTTACGGTTGTGGTTATGGTTATGGGCATGGTTATGGTTACGGTTATGGTTGTGGGCATGGTTATGGTTACGGTTATGGTTATGGGCATGGTTGTGGTTTAGGTTATGGCTATGGTTATGAGTATAGGTATGGTCATGGTCATGGAGGTGGTCGTAGTGGTGGTGGTGGTGGTGGTTACGGTTAGGATTGGGCTTTAATGTTAGGGGTTATGTATAGCTTTAAGGTTAGGATTAAGATTATGGTTATGGTTAAGGTTAAGGTTAGAGTCAGGGTTAAGGTTAGAGTTAGGGTTAGGGTTAGGGTTAGGGTCATGGTTATGGTCATGGTTATGGTTATGGTTATGGTTATGGTTATGGTTATGGTTATGGTTATGGTTATGGTTATGGTTATGGTTATGGTTATGGTTATGGTTATGGTTATGGTAAATGTTATGGCTATGGTTACGGTTAGGGGTTCGGTTATGGATATGGTCATGGTTAGGATTAGAATTATGGTCAATAGTAAGAATGGAATTATGATTATGCTCAGTGCTTGCGTGAGTGTTTAAGTTAGAGTTAAATTAGGTATCGAGTTAGATTTAGGGCCAGGGTTAGGAATATGTTCATAATTAGGGTTTGGGTTATGGGTTGTGGTTTGCTTGGGAGTTAGATCAAGTGTAGAGATCAAGATCTGTTAATTGGACGGTTGCTAAGTTTAAGGTTATAATCTAGTGTTATGGTTATATGTTATAGTTGATTTATATGATTATGATTTTTAGATTAAGGTGTTAAGAATTAATGGTGTTAGGGTTATATTAGTGGTTATAATTAGATTCAAGGTTGAGCCTAACAGCCTAATCACAGCTCTTGCGCTGAGAAACCGCTGAGTCCTAGGCAACGAGTCAACGATCACGTTCCGTCTCTGCTGGGTGAGGAGTCGGAGAATTGCAGCTGAGACGCTTTGGGGGAGCGTACGGATCTCGGCAAGCAGCAGCTGTTGCAAATATTTACCATCTCTGCCGCGCGCTGCCTTCGTGTACGGAGCGTGACGAGAGAGAGTGCCGTGCAGCGCCTGCTATATTAGCGAGTGGGTGGCTACGTATGCCGTCGTCTCAACGCCGTGCGTTGAAAAATCGCGCGTGCCGAGCAATGGGTTCCGCCATGTCAAATGCTATCAGTCGTATTCTATGTCTGCACGCACGGGCACACAACGCACGCGCGTACGCGTACTCACGCAGGCAGGTGCAGGCGGGCCGGTGCACGCAGGTAGGAGCAAGCATACAGGGAACACGCAGGTAGGAGAAAGCATAAAGGGGACACGCAGGTAGGAGAAAGCATACAGGGGAGGGACATGCAGGCAGGGAACACGCAAGCAGGGGGCACGCGGGTAGAGCACATGCAGGTAAGGTCCCGAGCACGTAGGGAAGGGGCACGCATGCACTGTGTGCACATGCAGGGCACGCGTGCACAGGCAGTGCGCACACAGGCAGAGGGTACGCAGACAATGCACATTCAGGTAGGAACACGGAGGTAGAGTTCACGCAGGCAGTGGGCACGCAGGCAGCGTGCACGCAGGCGGGTACTGAGCTTACAAAAGACATCAGGTGATACATAAGCATGTGCGTTTTTAGACTAAGGTTTATAACGGGGGCAAAGCTCCATTAGTTTATTGTTATCTTGCTTTTACGAGAGCGCCGACAACCAACCATAGTGCCAGGCGCGATGAAAAGAAACAAAACGAGTGAAATCGCGGAAAACTCAAAAGAGAACGAAAAAAGGGGTTGGCAAGAAACCGTCGCATTAGAAGGCCGAATATAAGCAACACTCTTGCTGAAGCAACCGTAGACGTTGTAGTAAGAAGAAACAATAGCGGACGCGTCCTGTTGTTGCAATATTCGTTAGTTTTTTCCTCAGAATCGCGATCCCTCCGTCATCTTAGGTGTAGAGATATATCGTCAACCGGCGTCGATCAACAAGAAAGTCAATTCTGTCCGAAAGTTGAACGACAGCAATAAATCTTCACAGAGACCAAGTTTGATTTCACTTTATCACACACGCCAACCAGATGGTAACACCGAAATAAGAAAAGTTAGCGCACCTATGCAGACATCGCACACACACCCCAACACCCACACGCACGAATGCACAAACACCTACCCACATGCACGCATGCACGCACACGCACACGGACACGCCCATGTGCGCCATGATCTCTAATTTGTAACGGTTGTTTCAGAGTTTTTTCCTGTTTATTTTTCTGTTAGTAAACTAATCATATTATGTTTAGAATTAAAAGCATGCAACGAGCACGAAGCCTTTTCCGTCGCTACTCTAGACGTTCTCGTGACACGTGAAATCTATAGTAGTGTAATCTGTCTACGCAGTATGTACACTATGTACTACACTATGTAGTCAACTTACTAGCTCGATGGAACCATAATGCTTCCTGCTGAATACACCCCGTCGTGCGGCAAGGTCTGCGGCTGTCGAGCTGTGTGAGAGAGAGAAAAAATGCGTTAGTTCGGTTTGACAGCTAAATTTTCCACCGTTTCGAGCAGCGTCCGCTGCGACCGTTTCCTCTATTCGAATGCGCCAGGAGACGGCCGTGGACAAAAACATAGCGCGCATTCACCTTTAATAGCGTTCTGTTCGTCTATCACACGATTCTATCCTCCGTCGTTTATTTTTACGAACGGTTGTAAAGCATTATTTGCCCGTACCTGTCACAGGGCGCCCTTTTATCTGTCTATAATAATATAGTTACGTTTTTGATCGACTCCGCTCTGGAGAAATTATTAATTATTAATTAGGTTAGCGCTTAAATAAGGTTACCAAATTGTTAGAAAGTTACCAAGCTGCTTAATTAAGTTAGAATGCGTTAGAATTGGTAATATGTCATTTTTTGTTAGATTTACATAGTGATATGGATACCCATATAAAGAGATAAGGGAGAATATATTATATATATATACGTATAATCCGTGATTTCCATGCCAACGAGGCGCTTGGGGGGAGCGTACGGATCTCGGCAAGCAGCAGCTGATGCAAATATTTACCATCTCTGCCGCGCGCTGCCTTCGTGTACGGAACGTGACGAGAGAGAGTGCCGTGCAGCGCCTGCTATATTAGCGAGTGGGTGGCTACGTAAGTATACATACCTGTTCCACTCTCTTTATTCACTTTTCTTTTAAATATATTGGATGCTCGACTATTATAATCAATGAAAACGATACAACGAAGATACAAAGCAAAGCTGAGACGCTTTGGGGGAGCGTACGGATCTCGGCAAGCAGATAAAGACCCAGAGCATTACTGCGTGCCGTACACATACATAGTTTTTGAATATGGGGCAGCTGATGTCTCTATTGTCGATGATAAATATTACTCTGATGTTGGATAGTATAGTGCCTATAAGGTCACCTGTGAAGCACGGTATACCAGGCGCCTTTTATAGTCATGTATATATATATATATATATATATATATATATATATATAT